GTAAAACCAAATCAGGAGTTTGGATGGAGCAACTACTGATTTAATAACCCTGCTTGAAAGGTTAAAGTTCTTAAAGATAAATGGATTGCAGGAGGGAAAGCTGCTTCCACTGAAAACATGAGAGAGGCCAATAATAAGACAGGAAAGGTTAAAATGACCTTTCACATACATCACCGAGTGAGAGGAAAGTGCTAGAGCAATGACATTGCCAGTCTTCAGACTTCTGCCTCCAGTAAAGATTGTGGCACATCAGTTTGAATGGAATTTCAAGTGATTCCTCCACTCTCTTGCTATCCCCACCAATCTGATTCAAATCTTCAGGATGAATGAGCATCCAACAGAACCAGCACATCACATGGCTCATTCTGAAAGGATGAAGTCTCCCCTATTGATTTCTGCTTCCCCAAAAGAATGGTCCGAGGCAATTCATATGTTGTTTTCAAAATAGGAAGTGGAATCATAAAGCGCGGATCAGCAGTTTTTCTTCCATTTACCTTCCTTTTTATTTCTGATATTCATCATAGTCATAATCTTCAAAGGATTCACCTGAAATGGTCCTGGCAATGAAATCAACAGTTGCCACCCTACATTTCTGCTACATAAATGTTGCTGTACCATTAACAGATTTGCACAAGGAAATGAAGGGATATGTTTGCAATTTTCATTCGACGACGATGTCTGGGGTGGTGGGAAGGTGATGTCAGAGGAATTGGCGTAGTCGTTTAAATCCGCCGTGTTTTCATGTCTGTTTTACGGCTGAGTCATTTTTCAGTAACATTTAACTTCATAAATGTAGTTTAGGGTCCTTCAGAGATTTGGCATACATATTGTTTGTATAACTCCTTGACCTCCTTTTTTATCCTTGGGGGAGAAGTTGCATTCACAATCCTTTTTGTCAAACCTGCAGAGGGCCCAACTCTAAATGAGTTCTAGTGATTTCAGCTGCCAGGGGGCTTGTGCTTTGAGGCACATGGTACTTAGCTCGTAATGGCCACTGTCCCCCTTCTACATATAACACCGTTTCTATTTATAAAGCTTCATGAAATGCCATCATCCCTCCTGCCTGCTAAAGACTCTAAAGAGGGATCCGCAAGACCATCTTATGAAATGGGAACCAAACTTAAAATGCATGGTGAAACTGCGCCTTTTACACGCCAAGTTTAGTTATTGCATCCACTGCTGTGATTATGTGGCACCCAGGGCATATTTACTGGCATCACTGACCAGAGGAAGGGGAAGCTCATATTTCTGGATGCAATAAATGGCCCTTTTGATGGCATTCGCATCCTGGGCGATGCATCTCAGTGGGTTTTCCTCCTTCCTTCATACTATAATTCAGAATGGCTCAGGGAGAGCTCGTTTATCTGGAAGAAAAAGGCTGCTTGCCTTTGGATGTGTCTCTTTTTGATTATATCATCTTGTTAGGGGAAGTGACGAGACATGTATGAAAGTTCCTCACCATTGGCAACTCGCCAAGCATGTTAAATGGCCAATTATAGATGGGGCGCCATTTTTGAGGCAAAAGCTTTTTTTGTGTATATTTTGATTTTGCTATATTCACAATGGTGATGGAAGGTAGGGCAGGGGGAGGGGAGCCCACTAGAACTTCAGGATTTTCTTTCCTTAGAAAAATGTGAGCATGATGGGTTCCAAATGGACGTACTTCTAATTTCCTGATCCAAACTTGCATAGCACTCTCTCCAAAAGGGACAGGAGCTATTAACACCACTCCCCTTTCTCGTGGCTCCTTCATATGGAAGTGTGTTCCGTGAAGGAATATTGCTTAAAGCAGAGGCTCCATCTGTCTGTCCTTCATCCACACACGGCTGTGCTGAAGAGCTACTCCTGTCCCTTCACCTTGTGAGGCGTGAGACAGCGGAAGCCTGGCACCGTCTCCTGGTGAACATTTGACTTCTACGTGCTAGAACCCCTCCATTCAAATGTACCTCCAGGTTTGCTTCACCACACCAAGCAGAACAAACGAGAAGATATCAGAAGGGATTTATAGCAGCAGGAGTTGTGCTCCCCAAGACAATGAATTTAGCATCACAGTGATTGTAACCAGAACAGGAAGCATCATTATAAACAACCTACATGATAATAAATCACCTGGAAAATTCCCCTGCCTGAAAGCGTTTTCCTAATATATATATTTTTAATCATTGGCAGCTTCTGTTTTCTGATGGTTCATATGGTTTTGAACTGATCTCTCTAAATAATGCCTTTCTGAGAATAGCCAATGAAATCCCGAGAAATAGCTCCCAGCATTGGAAATCCTTATGTTTTGCCTGAAAAGAGTGGTGTCTCTGGGAGCTTCTTGGAATAGGATGATTTCTAATCTATCCAAATCGCCACCACCCCCCAGGTCCAGTGTCCCCTAAGATTAGTTGTGGCTTAGATAATCTAAATAATGTCTTATTTTAAAATACACCATGACCATCCAAAAGACGCTTGCCATGAGGGTGCAAGAGGAGACAGCATGCAAAGCTGGGAGCCTACAGGACGGCTGCCGCATTATTGGAAAACAACGGGAAGATCAAGACATTTGCATGTTGCAATCTTGGCATTTGACAGCGCAGTGAAAGCAAAACCTTCTCTAATAGATTGAGCCACAAGATGGCACGCCCATGCACACAAGAACTGCCTTACCCTCTCAGTGTGGTCCAAATCAAAAGCACGCAAGATGAGCATATAAAGTGGTCTCTGGCCCACTGTGTCCCCCAGGCGATGGAAGAAGCAAATGCTTTAGTTCAGGTCCACAAACCTCATTTCAGAACTGCTAAGGGGAGGTCAGGGATGCCATGGGTCTCAGCCCCTCAAATGTGATGAGAGCGCCACGTGTTTCTGGTCTACCAGGCAACACCCAAGCTCTCTACACATGAGTGCCATTCAGACTGGGCACTTTGCAGAGTCTTCTTCTCCAGAGCCGCAGCATCATTTCCTAGGAATGCCTAAGGACGTTGGTCTTCCTCTCTCCATCGAAGGATACCCAGGGTGTGGGGTCCCATCCCCATGGGAAGATTCTGGTCCTCCAACACTGACCTGTTGCAGCTTTCTCTCCTCCTCACTTTGGATGGTCCCAGAGTCATCTGCTTCAAGTCGGGAGCCCTTGGGTGGTGCAACAGTATCCCCCAAAGGGAGGACGTTTAAGGTCCCCCAAGAGGCCCTGCCTCAGGAAGAAACCCTAGGGATCTTTTATCTGAAAAGTCAGCCATTGAAAACATAGGGGAGCCCAGCCCATTCTCCACATGTGCGGTCACCACAAGTGGACATCAGCTCAGCGCAACTGGTTTGAATCTCCAATTCCCCACCTGCTGCGTATCCACTGTGGCTTTTAAGATGGCCACACTGACTACAAAATCTGGAATGTGGCCCACTGCCCGTCCAGTGACTCTCTGGTGGAAGGTCACTTCTGTCACCCCAGAGACGAGCCCATCCAACTCCCGACAGGACTATATCCACGGCCAACTTCACTTCTATCCTGCACACTTACTAACTCCTTCAGTGGGTGTGTGCTCTGAAGATGAGGACTAATTTTAGACTTAACCTCAAATGAAACTTAATTAAGAAAGTGACTCATTTATGAGTTCCTTTTTCATCTTTTGTTACCTCCTGAAGCCAAGGATTCGTGCAGCTCAAATGAGCCCCCTATCTCCCTCTCTGATTGTGGGAGGTAATTGAGTTGGGTGAGAGAAGTAGAGACATCACAGGTATTCGTGTCCCAGTGCTAACACGCAGATACGGTTTAATTGAGGTACGAAAATGTAGAAGGTGCTGGTCTTAAGCGTCACCCATAGTGCCCCCATGTGCCAGAGTAGAGCTGCCCCGTAGGGCTTCTAGACAGTAATCTTAGCAGAAAGGAGCTCTGGGAGGGCAGTGGTTAATCGCTCAGTGACTAACATGAAAGGTCAACGGTTCAGACCCACCAGCCACTCCACAGAAGATGGCTGAGGCAGTCTGCTTCGTAAGGATTGACAGCCTTGCAAGCCCGCTGGGGCAGCTCTGCTCTGTCCTATGGGTTCCCCGGTGTCTGAGTCGACTCCATAGCACTGGGTCTGGAGACTGATCTCTGTGACAGCACACCCCCTGGCCTTTCTCTCTCAGAGTTGGACAGGCTGAACGGCACGGCTCTGTATCGGCTCTTCTTCTTTCTCAGGGAAGCCCCTTTCTTTTACTTATTTTTAAAAGTTGTAATCGTTTTATTGGCAGATAGTTCACATACTGCGCAATCCGGTAGTTCAGTCAAACTAAGACGAGCTGTGTCATCAACACCACAGTCAACGTCAGAGCCTTTTCTTCTCGCTTGTCCTTATTGTGGTTCACTCCCCATTGCCCCCAGCCTCTCTGCCACACCCTTAGGAAGGGAGTTGTTAATCCAGTTACTGTCTCTGTGTAATTACCTGCGCCGGATCTCATGTACAGAAAGTCATACAAAACAAAACAAAGCCAAAAAACCAACAATGGCAAAAACCTCAATTGAAAAGAAATTAGAAAATGTTAAAAACAGAGACAACGATCAAATGGGTCAAAAGGGAAATCAAATGATAAGATGTTGCATTTTAACCTCACTACATCAGCCATAACCAACTTCACGATGCGCCTTGCCTGAGAGCAAGGCTGTTCACGTCCCTGAGCGCTACATAGTCAGCGGGGATTCACTGGGGGCTCCAGCCACACACATGGATGGGGGATTTGGGCACGTGGATGTGGGCTTTCTGCAAAATTGAAACCTTTTCTTTTGCACTCTTTTGAAGTCTGAAATTTAGTATTTTGACAAATAAGACTTTTATTCTTTCCAGGTGTTCTTCAAGGGACCAAGTATGTTTGTATGTATGTATGTATGTATGTATGTATGTATGTATGTATGTATGTATGTATGTATGTGTCACCCAGGCAGGTCCATTCACTTGCAAGTGGACGGGCCTGGGCTGACTGTTCCAGAAATAGACCTGTGTCCGGTGGCCCAGGTCGGGTGAGTGAACAATCCCTCTTCCCCTTTGTGTCTTCCAGTTGATTGCCTGGACCCTACCTGCTCCAGCCATGGGGTCTGTGTGAACGGAGAGTGCCTCTGCAGCCCTGGCTGGGGTGGCCTCAACTGTGAGCTGGCCAGGGTGCAGTGCCCAGACCAGTGCAGTGGGCATGGCACGTACCTTCCTGACACAGGCCTGTGCAGCTGCGACCCCAACTGGATGGGTCCCGACTGCTCCGTTGGTAAGCCAAGAAGTTTTCTCCTCGCTTCGCCCCACATGTGTGTTCTGTGTTCCTCTATGAGCCCAGGTGGATGGGTGCCTACTGTTCACGCAGAGCGTGGAGGAAGGGACCCTTTGTCTGTTACATAGTGCCTGTCTTATGCGCTTCCTCTCGGTCATGGAGTCTGGGATCTTTCAGGGCAGTGGGTGGCGGGACACCCACATGTACTTGGTTCCTGTGCCTCGTTGGTTCCATTCCCACAAATGGCTGAGAGGCCAGGAGCTCTGCGCCTACCGCCATCATAGAGGGACCGGAAAACAACACAGAACTTTCAGTCCCAGACAGACGGGGCAGGACATCCTCTAAGACAGAAAGGAGGCTCCCTCAGGGCGCCTCCGGAATGTGTTATGGAACTCTGTGGTAACGCCAGTGATGGGAAAATCATGAAGTGGCGCTGCTATGCTTTCATTTTCCTAAAATTAGGAGTGTGCTTCTTATCTCCCGAGTGACCTAACAGTGGAACAGTTCAACAGTTCAAGCCAGCCCCGGCCCAGTTCCATTCACACTGTCAAGTGCTGATCCGGGCAGGCGATCATCATTCCGCCCCCTTTCTCTGGGTAGGGAGACAGCTGTCAGATTACCATGGCAATCTGGAAGGGAGTAGATGTGAAGCTTTGTCTCCAACGGGAAAGATATGAATATTTCATTTCCCCAACACGAGGGAGAGTGAGCGAGAAAGAGGCCATCCAAATGGGCTTGTTCTGTGACACCTTCTCAGCCCACATGACTCCGGCTTCACCTCTGAGCTGGCGGTCCAGGCAAAGCTCTGAAAAGGATGGGGTGGCCCTAAATCCAAGTCCCAAATGTGCTGCAGACGCGCTGTGTGACTTTGCGTGAGCCACCGAGCCCCTGGCCTGGTCCCGTTGCCCTGGCACGATGAGCCACGCCTCCCTCCGCAGACGGTCGTAAGCATGAGTGTCTGGCACGTGCTTGGCCTCGAGTGAGAGGTCTGGAATGCCAGAGAGTGAGTCTGTCTGTCTGTCTCCTCTCCAAATCACAAAAGACTTTGAGCTCCTTTGAGAAAGAGGCTGTGTAAAGGCAGGGCCGTGGCAGCAGTCATCATTGCCACCAAGGTGCCAGTCAGGGCGAGGGCAGTCATCGTGACACACAGCTGGGCACCAACAGCTGGCCTGCTCAGACTCTGGCCAGGCCGTTAGGATTCAGACGGCCCCTTGTTGGTGGGTTCCTCCCTGCTAGCTCTGTCACACCGGTTGGTGGCGGTCAGACCTCCTCCTGAGATGATCTCAAGCCCTAGGAGGGTGGTTGTCACCTGAGCACCCCAAGACCCGGTGGATTCGTTCATACAACTGTGTGAGCGCCCCCGCCAGGGGTTCTGGACTAGGTCTCAACGGGGGACAATGATTTGTACCTCTGACACGTTTCCAGGTGATATTGGTGCTCCTGGGGCCATACATGGAGGTCCCCTGCTCTAGGGAACATATTAATCATGATGAGACGATGATGACTAATTCATACCCAGCCAGCAGAGAGAGCAGCCTCAAAAGAGGCCTTTGGGCCGTGGGCCTGCTCCAGGGGCCCGGGCCCTGGGCATGGTCTGGCCCCTGGCGGGAAGTTTCGCCAGCGTGGTGTTGAGCTGTAATCATTGTTTTTCTTCCAGAAGTGTGCTCAGTAGACTGTGGCACTCACGGCGTCTGCATCGGGGGAGCCTGCCGCTGTGAAGAGGGCTGGACAGGCGCAGCGTGTGACCAGCGCGTGTGCCACCCCCGCTGCATAGAGCACGGGACCTGTAAAGATGGGAAATGTGAATGCCGAGAGGGCTGGAATGGTGAACACTGCACCATTGGTAGGCAAACGGCAGGCACCGAAACAGGCACATATTGCTTTATTTTCATAAATCGTAGATCGATAGTGACGGTCGTGCATTGCCACCGGCTGCTCCTTCAGGGACCCAGGGCTCCCCAACTTACCTGCTGCCTCTCCAAATCTACCAGGGGTTGGGAAGGCAAACAAGGTCCTTGTTGTTCCCAAAAGGTGTTCCCATCTTTCCACAACTCCAGATGGGGAGCAGAGGGACCTGGCCATATATTGTCAATTAAAACCAAACCAAACCCCTCTCAACAACTGATCTTGGGGAGGAAGAAATGCACACGCATGGGAAACGGTCAGGCCTGCAGGTTTGGAGCACCTGCAATCAGAGTGGTCTACAAACGAAGCCTCCAGTCGGCTGCATCGCTGGCTTCCTGCTTGCTGGCAACCACAGGAATGCATTCCTCTTAGAGCAGCATATGCAGGCAGGAGTCCCAGCTTCCCTGGCTGAGCCATGTTCCCAAGTCATGGGCGTGGGCATCTTCTTGCTATCCCCAGCCTTCCTCCTCAGGCCCCTCCGTCGCCACCATCACCACCCCTGGTCCCATCTCATGCTGCCCCAGCCACCTCTCTCCATCAGCTTCTTGACCAAAAAAGGTTGTTTGAAGACCATTTTCTTGGTCCAGAAGTTTGTTTCTGTTCTTGTTTGTTTGCTATCATTATTGGGGTTTGGGGTCGGACAATACTTTATTCTGACTGTACCAAATGTGCCCCTGGAATTGAGGAATTTCCATAGCTCCCTGATCATTTGAATTACAAAGTTGTCAAACTGCTATCTTCTTACTTTCCATTTCTAAGTAGTGGGGTTTAAGTAGCACCAGCCTAGGGCTCATTGTGTGCTGAGCTGGCTAATCCAGTTACCTGCATGGAAGCTCTCAGGGAGGTTTCAAACCACACTGCTGATGTGCCTCATTGAAGTCACCAGTGATTCCCAGGTGGGAATCCCCTCTGGGAGCTCTCCCCTCTGTGCTGATTGGCCACCTGGAGGGCAAGATAGAGTCCAGAGCGTGCTGAGGAATGGGCCAGAGATAGAGAGAGGTAAGGCCAGGAGAGAGGAACGACAGGGTCAGGAGCTTGCCTAAGAGGCCAGACCCAGTTTCCCATGCTGTCCATTTGAATGGTGAAACAGAGGACTGCATTTGATTCCCGACTTCCATCTGATTAGGCCTCTGAGGAGCAGTGTACAAATGAGGTCCCCAAGCATGACACTGGGACCCTGCCGGGACAGTCAGTGGCAGTGAATTGTTTTGCAATCTCTCAATGACACTCCAGGTCCTTGCTCTCCACCCCCTGCCCCTACCGCTGCTTTCATCCTCAGTGCCCTGCAGAGTCTGGGAGATAATTCAGGAGACTTTCAAGGGAGGGGTGGGCACAGCCCCAAGACCAAGAGAGCTTAAGACTCTCAACAATAGCTTCCCAGGGCTGTTCCCTTGGTGTAGGTTTGCATGTGATTCAAATAAAATGCCACACCCCTGTTGCCTCCCCCCAAAGCACTTGCCAATCAGCATCCTTTAGACAGATTATCCTACTTTCTCCCCATTCACACAACCCAGCCTCACCTCCCTTAGCTCTCCCCTTGCACACCTGCCAGGGGGCTCAGGCTCCCACCATGCCACCTGCTGGCTCTCTCCTACTGACAGCCTGTCTTCCCTCTGCATCTAGCTCACAAGAGGGCAACCCAGATGGCTTAGAGCAGTCGGCAAACTACTGCCTGTGGGTTCAGTCTGACCTGCCTGCCACCTGCTTTCGGCTAGCCCAAGAGCTAAGAATAGTTTTCACATTGTTCCCTCCCTGTGGGTTGAGGGGGAAAAAGAGGAAAAAAAATATTTTGTGACACGTGAAATTCCATGTCCGTTGTCCTAACGTGTGGCTCAAGCACAGCCAGGTCCCCTCGGTTGCTGTCCTATCTGCTTCCTCACCGGACTGCGGCTTCAGACACCGTGCGGCCCATAAAGCCATCTGCCATCTGGCCTCTTGCAGAACTATGCCGACCCCTGAATGAGAGAGCTGCCCAGGTCTTGATGGAGAGAGGGGAAAGGGTGGCAGATAAAGACCTCCATTAGGAAAAGGATGCTAACTGTGGCCCGAAGGGTGTGACATTAAAGAGTCAAAGAGAGCAGTCAATAGTTGAGTCAAACAATTAGTTTGGAGTCAAAGCAAGAGTTGAGTCCAAATGACCCCAGGTCCTTGGAAAACCATTGAGAAGACCCAAATTCTGGGCTCCGTTGAGAAAACGGAGATGCTTAGTTCACCAAATCTCTCTGGGTGAGGTGAATTGAGAAGGGTGTTTCTGCCGTGTGAAGGGCCCAGTTCAGATTTCACATCTCGATGAGAGAGAGGCAGAGGGAGTGCAGATTCAGATGCTAAGCAAAGCTCCCCCAGAAAAGAGGGCCCTGGCCCAGGGAAGTCTGTTGTTCAGAACTCTGATCTCCTTGATGAGGCTGTGCTATGTAAGTGATAAAGATCTTTATCATTTTGTCTTGTGAGAAATGAGGGCTCTGTGGTTTCATTAGTCAGATGTGTACCCGCTCCTCATAGTTATGTTCACGGCGCTTTTCTCAAGAAGAGGAAAAAAAGAAAGAAAAGAAAATGAGCTAACTATATATATTGGCTGGTAAGATCTGCTATTCCAAAACTAGAGAGCTGTCCATACATGCATAATCACTTCTGCTTTTCCACCTCTGGCCCCGTTGCTGTGTCCTGGGCCTCCTCATCTTTTCTTTTTGAGCAGACGCTCCTGTCAATTCATTTTAAGTAAATGCCACCGTTTACAAGCACAGAACGGCCCTCCTCCTCAGGGAGGCTGACGGCCAGCAAGGAAAGCGAGGCTCTCCAGGCCGGCCCGAGCAGTCTCACATGCTAGATTTTGGAAAGAGAAAATAAATAAGCATAAAATGGCACTTTGTCGGTAAACAATGCACTGGGAGACTACGGGGCCAGGCAGAGAAGTGGATGGTTAGGGTGGGGTTCTTGGGTTTCTATGGCATATTTTCAAAAGGTCATTGTGAGGCGGTTTTCGCAGGGTTATTGTAAATGGTTGACCGCCCGGTTCACAGCAGGGCTAAGGACTGCATATATGTTGCTAAAGGAAGCAAAAAGACAGACAGAAAGAGGAGGGGGAAGGAGAAATGAAAAATAAAGGCACCACTTTCTAAACCACGGCAAGGAGATGCACAAGGAGTGGCCAGGCTGGGTCAAAGGCATTTCTGCACTTTCCAACCCAGTCAGTTCTATTTGAAAACACAGTGCTTATTACTCAAGATGCAAACAGTAGCTATCAAACTGCCATGTTAACTGTTAGGGCTAATTTATCAGACTGGATTCTACCAACCAGTGATGTTTACATTACCTTTTCCCAACAAGTTAAATGCAAGGTAGGATCAATAGCTGCAGAATTGCCTAGCTAAGAAATAGACTTTGAACCCACGTCAACCACAGGGCATGCAGGTGTCTGTCTCTGGGACAGAATTGCATTACGTGGATAGGCTGGGGTTTACTCTTATGAATAAATCAGAATGTACATTGTGTGGTTGGAAGAGTCTGATTCTTTAAACCTCATCCTAAGATGGGTTATTGCTCCACTGCCCATTATTAATACTGGGAATTAAGCTTCAGAAGGGCCATATAATGGCTTTAACACATCAGGGCAGGAGAGAACCCTCTAACTTTCATTAGGTCAAAAGCATTCTGAACTATAGTGAACGCTGCTAAGCAACTCTTATACCCTAAAGGGATGGGGTCGATTTAGGCACATTTTGGGAAGGGATTACCCATCCACTGCCATTGGGTCGAATCCAACTCAGAGTGACCCAATGGGACAGAGTAGTTCTGCTCTCTGGGGTCTCCAAGGCTGTCTGTCTTTATAGGAGCTGGCAGTTGGGAACAGATAGTTGGGGAAGGGCATGGGGAAAAGCCAAGTGTGATGAGAACTGTGCTAATCTCTTCCGTGCAGCCTGTACAGAGGCCTTGAGGGGTAGCATCAGCTAATGTTCAACCGCTAGCAGAAAAATTGGAGTTTCAAGTCCAACCAGAAGGGTCCCAGAAGAAAGACCCAGAACAGGGCAGCCAGGGAAAGTCTATGGAGCCCAGTTCCACCCTGACACCTATTGGGTTGCCATGAGTTGGAACCCGCTCCACATAGCAGCTGCCCAGACATCTGCTCTGAATGACACAAATGGACACGTCCACAGAATGCCTTCTCCAGCCAAGGCACCTGGGGGAACTGCTTGCTGTCCAAGCAGGGACTGCGAGGGTTACTCCAACCTGTTTATTTGGTCCACGTGACCCTGACCTCCAACCTATATTTCAGAGTCACAAACACCTGATCCTTAGAACCACGTGCGGCTGTGTGACCTGCCCATGTGTCACAACTCATCACGGTCCTCTTCTCCCTCGAACGCACGGGGCCCTCTGATTTTTCCTCTTTAATTGGTCGGGGATTGAACTAAGTGCTTGTGATGTTAATAAGGAAAATGAATCTTTACCCTAGGTAGAGCCAGCCATGCGACAACCTGATGTGCTGATTAAGTGATTGTAATCAGAAGCAGACAGGGTCACATTCCAAGAGGGAGAGTGCTCAGAGGCTGCAGGGACCTGGTTAGGAAGAAAGTGATTGTGAAAATGAGTCAACCTCAGCCTGGGGATAGCTGCTCCTGCAACTCATCCCACTTTCACTCAAAGCGATGGGCACTTGTCGCTGCCCTCGCCCTTGAACATTTGGGCTCGTGCGACGGTACAATGAGATCAAGTGGAGATGGAATTAGCCACCGGGGTGCCATCTATACCACCAGGGTCATGAAAGCAGCTAATTCTGTGATAGGTTAATTAACCCATTCCTCCAGAGGTTCTTGTGGCAGCCCATGCTACTGGCTCCACCTTTTGAAAGTGACAGCCTGAAGTGATGGGTGTTCACTGTTAAGGAGGAAGAACAGAATTTTAACAGAGTGTAATAAGTGTTGGAGTGTTGATTTTTTTTTC